CATCAACGAACTCCACGAAGCGAAAGGAAGATCTACTAGATATTAATTAAATTATAAATATATCAATTCATATAAATATGACTGAAAATTTTCATTTTTTCTGAAAAGGTGGTGTCTATTTACTTGTGACCACGCTGTGTAGATATGTGAATAAGCATGGCCAGGTTGTTAGGGCGCTCGACTCGCAATCTGAGGGTCGTGGGTTCGAATCCCCGTCACACCATACATGCTCGCCCTTTCAGCTGTGGGGGCGTTATAATGTGACGGTCAATCCCACTATTTGTTGGTAAAAGAGTAGCCCAAGAATTGGTGGTGAGTGGTGATGACTAGCTGCCTTACCTTTAGTCTTACACTACTAAATTAGGGACGGCTAGCGCAGATAGCCCTCGTGTAGCTTTGCGCGAAATTCAAAAACAAACAAACAAACTGTAGTCAGCCTCATAAAGCAAAACTTGCTCAAGGGAAACTCTGTAAACTCGAGAAGGATAAAACAGGATCTGATGAAAAGAAAATGTAATAATGTAGTATTTTCTTGTTTGAACTTATTCATAAGTATTGCAGAAACACCGTTAACCGGGAAACATTTCGACACAATGACTTGTCATGAACCATTATGTGACAGATGTTCCACTTGCGAAATGAAACTTACAAGTACTGTTCTATACGGTAACAAACAACTCAAGCGAGAATCTGAATCATCAACCAGAAGCTTAGCTCAACGTGGAGCTGAATCATTGGATGACCAAAGTAGAAAAACTGGAGTGAAGTTGGTTAGTTGTTTTAGAACAAAGGTGCATTGGTCTATCTGTTGTGTACGCCGCGGGGAATCGAATCCTAGGTCAAAACTGGAGTGAAGTTGGTTAGTTGTTTTAGAACAAAGGTACATTGGTCTATCTGTTGTGTACGCCGCGGGGAACCGAATCCTAGGTCAAAATAAAAGAATGTTACAAGAATAATACCTGGTACTGAGGTAAATTTTCTATGTGAGTTCATTTCTGTTGCGCATAAATAAGTAATAATAATTACTATAATGGTTTCTACTGTTGGTCGGGTTTTTAGATTATTCACTAAGAAGGAAGAATGCAAAGTTCTGTTCACTTAATGATAACAAAAACATTTTATTTCTACAAGTCTACAATTTTATATATCACTGAGCAAAAAGTCAAACTTAATAAATTTCACTTCCTAATTTTCCGGAAGGTGCGGTACTTCTTCCATATCTATTAATTGTGGTACATTTTAAATGGTATAAAATAAGCACGCCGCAACAATCAGGGTTCAACAACAAAAAATAACAACAATTTATTCAGCTATAACAACACTTAGAAATACATTCAACACTTACCAAAACGTAGTAAATTAACAGGTGCCTCGTCAGGACGTGACACTAATGTAAATATATATCAATATTATTTCAAATAAAGGAATAGGGAAAAAGAACCAGAAAGAAAAAACAAATCCCCCCCCCAAAAAAAAATACGGCAAACACAATAATCCAGTAATACCTCTCAATATTAATAACAATATCGAGTGATAAACAGCAAAAATTCACTAACTGTCTCGTGAGTCTCTTT